CCCTCTCAGGACTGCCTTTGCTGTATCTAATAGGTTTTGAACTGTTGTGTGTTCATTACTTTGTTTCCAGAAACTTTAATTTCCTCTTTGATCTCATTATTGACCCATTCATTGTTTAATACCATGCTATTCAGTTTCCATGAGTTTCTTCCTTGTGGTTGGTTTCTAGTTTCAGGCCCTTGTGGTCTGAGAAAATACTTGTTACGATTTCAATTTTCTTGAATTTTTTGAGGCTTGTTTTGTGTCCTGTCATGTGGTCTGTCTTTGAAAATGTTCCATATGCATTTGAAAAGAATGTATTTTGCTTCTTTGGGATGAAAGGTTTTATGTATATCAGGTAAGTGCATATGAGCTACTACGCCATTCAGTACCACAATATCCTTCCTTGTTGATATTTTGTTAGGAAAATCTATCCATTGTTGATAGTGAGGTGTTATAATCCCCTACTATTAAGTGTGTTGCTGTCTATATCTTTCTTGAAGTCCTCCAAGATTTTCCTTACATATTTGGGTGCTTCTTCTGTTGAGTGCATATAAGTTTACAATGTTTATATCTTCTTGATGGATTCTTCTCTTGAGTATTATGAAGTGTCCTTCTGTGAGTCTTTTAATGGCTTTGTTTTGAAGTCTCTTTTGTCTGATAAAAGTTTTGCTACTCCAGGGTTTTTTTCCTGTCCATTCGTTTGGATTTTTTTTTTTCCATCCCTTTATTTTCAGTCTGTGTAAGTCTTTTGTTCTGAGGTGGGTCTTTTGTAGGCAGCATATGTGCGGGTCATGTTTTCTTATCCATTCAGCTACCCTATGTCTTTTGATTGGAGCATTTAACCATTTCCATTTAAAGTAATTTTTGATAGGTCCTTATTCATTTTTTCCCTTTGTACCTGTGTTCCTCTCTCTCTCTCACTCTTTTTCTTCATCTTCTTAAGGCAGTCCCTTTAGCATATGTTGCAGTGCCAGTTTGGTGGAGGTGTATTCTTTTAGCCTTCTTTCATCTGGGACACTTCTTATTTTGCTTTCCATTTCAGTTGAGAGCCTTGATAGGTAGAGTAGTCTTGGATGCAGACCTTTCGTTTTCATTACTTGGAGTATTTGTTGCGTTCCTTTTTGACTTGTAGTGTTTCTGTTGAGAAGTCAGTTGCTAACCTTATCAGGGCTCACTTGTATGTCACTACCTCTTTCTCCCTTGCTGCCTTTAGGATTCTCCGTCTTTGCAATTTGTCATTTTAATTATGATGTGTCTTGGAGTGGGCCTCATTGGTTTCCTCTTGAATGGGACCCTCTGTGTATCCTGGACTTGCGTGACCTTTTCTCTCTTCAAATTAGGGAAGTTTTCCATCATTACTTTGCAAATAGATTTTCTATCCCTTGTTCCTCTTCTCCTTCTGGTATCCCTTTTATACAGATATTGTTATGTTTTATGTTTTCCCCCATTTTCCTTATTCCCTCTTCTTTCTTTTTTAGTCTTTTTTCATTTTCTTGCTCTTTCTGGTAGCTTTTTTCTACCTTGTCCTCCAGCTCACTGATTCAGTCCTCTGCTTCATCTAGCCTGCTTTTGATGCCTTCTACTGTGTTCTTCAATTCAGAAATTGTATTCTTCATTTCGTTTTGCCTCTTGTTGACAGTTTCTCTGTCCTTTTTCATGGTGATATAGTTTGCAGTAAGTTCCTCATAGTTTCCCTGTAGTTTTTGGTAATTATCACTGAGCTCACTGAGCTTCCTTAGAATCATTGTTTTGAACTCAGTATCTGATAGTTTACTTGCCTCTATTTCATTTAGTACTCTTTCTAAGGATTCCTCTCCTTTCTATTGGGGGTTCTTTCTTTGTCTTCCCTTCATTCGTGAGACTCTTCTTTTATGCTTCTACTTCTAAAATTGGTCTGTTTTGACTTCCTGACTTTGTGGTGTATACTTCTATGGTAGGAGACCTGTGAGATTCAGTGGTGGTCCAGTCTCCTTGATCTCCTGAACTTGATGTTCTTGAGATGCCTTCTCTGCCATTTTTGTTGACTCTCTGGAAGTAATTGTGTTTTGATTTTTGTTTGGTTATTCTTTGGTGAGTCCTTTCATACAGCTAGTTAACTCAGAGTCAGGATCACTCTGCTCACCACATCTTGTGCGTACCCTCCTATTTTCCTCTTATAAAGATTTGTGATTACATTGAGCCCACCCTGATAATCCTGGATAATTTCCCCATCACAAGAACCTTTATTTAATCTCATCTGTAAAGTCCCTTTTACCATGTAAGGTTTAACATTATTCATAGCTGCCAGGAATTAGGACATGGACCTCTTTGGAGTGGAGAAATTATTCTGCCTACCACCCTCACCTACAGTGCAGAGCTCAGTACATGTAGGATTGTTACTGAATAATGGACCCGTTGTGGGGGGCACCCAGAGAGTACTCCCGACCAATGCCTGCTTTCCCCAGGGTCCTGCTGTCCTAGGTCCTTTGCTCACACCTCTTAAAAATTATGGCTCTCGATAGCAGAGTTTAGTGAAAAGGAATGGAAGATTTATTCAAAAGTTATACAAGTTTTTAATAATGGCTAAATGTCACTGTTAAAATATCAAAATCCCTTTAAAACACAAACCGACACACACAATCCTGCTTTTCCCTCCCCACATTTTTCCTAGTCAGGCTGGTCCAGGGGTACCATCCTCCAGAAGAAAAAGAATAGAAGTCCGGGGCTCAGCTAGGCAGGGCTCTCGCGGTTCCCAGCACCATCAGCTGTGTCACCAGCTCTTAATCCAAAACTACGTGGCACTTTCTTGTGATCTCCAGCTCTTAATCCAAAACCACGTGGCACCTTCTTGTGGCCCACTAGCAATGGTTCTTTCTTTCCTGCATGGTTTCACATTTTTCTCCTGAGTCTGTGCCCTTTGCCTCTGATGCAGGCCCTGTCTTCCCCCTTGTCAGTTACATGCTGAGTTAAATGTAAAGAAGTTTATGTAAACTTTCCTGGTTAGCCTTGTTGAGATGTAAAATAACTGTCTTTGCATATGAGGTCTGAAGCTGTCTTACTGTTGTTGACTTGTAAAATGTCTCTCAATTGCCCTGCTCCTTGCCAGATATGAAGCTGGCCTGTTATTGATACACAAAGTAATTCTTAATGGCCCTGCTCCAGGTCTCCCATTCTGCTTGAGGACCCGCCTTTGCAGGGATGGGAGAATATCTTATATTTTTCTTGGACATCCCAAGTTATCAACCTCATTACAAATGCCCACTTTGCGGGGGCCCTGGCTGTGCCCTGTTACAGGATGATGTTCCATTTGGCCCTTGAGTGTGTTGCCCCAGTGGGAAGAGTTGAAGTGTGAGCAACTGACATAGTTATCATAAATAATGATAATTCATTTGTTTGTGCCTCAGAGACATCATGTCTACTTTCAGGACAATTTATTTAAGTGTAGATGCTTAAACATAATAGGGTAATTTTGGAAAACTATAGTGCTTATTACGGATCCAAAGTCCTTGTGCCTTGATGCTTTGAAAGGTCAAAGGTCAAAACTCAAACCATCAAGTTTGTAGTAAGGAAAGATTTTTGATAGAGAAGCCTACTGAGAAAATGGGAGGCCTAGTAGTTCTTCAAATCCATTTTAAGAAAGTACAGAGTTCAGGTTTCTTTTCTGTCAAGGGAAGGGAAAATGGGAGAGACCGTTTTTTTGTTTAAAAAAAAAAAATCTAGCTCCAAGCAGAATTCCTCTAATGATTAGCAGGTCTAAAGCAGGGCCTATTAGCCTGAAGACCACAGGAATAGTGCAGACCTCAACAAGACAGAGTCAGAGAAAGACTGAGCCTTTTACTCAGAAATTAGCTCTACAGGCTTGAATTATCAGAACAGAAGAGATCTAGAGTTGTAGACGTTGTCTTGGACCTTCTATTGCCTTTAGGACCTCTTAACACAGCTTTTTTCTCAAGAGATTTCCAGCTTGGCTAACGCATTCAAATTGAACAGCAGGCTAGCTTGCATCTAGCTCCTGTAAGATCAGGGGGTTTTTGTTGTCATTTTTTTTACTTTTTAATGTAACTAGGATTTAGGGTTTGGCTCTGCTTCCTTCCTGTATGATGTTCTGGACTTGAACCTAGTCCAATGCTAATGATATCAGCTCTCCACCGTAAACGTAGGCACTGTGTTCAGATATGAGACCTATGTGCTCATTTCATAGTGTACTTGTGTGTCTTTTAATAAAAGCAGAATATCTTATAACAGGTTTTTCTCAGCTCCTTTTCCAGTGTCCTATTATAGCATCTGAGTTGGCTTAACTATTGATCCTATGACCCTAGCTTGAGGATACATTAAGAGCTAGGCACAACTCTCAGGTCTTGGTTTGGCAGTAGTTATGGAAGTAACCTAGACCTATCATTGGTAAAGATTACAACTTTGGAATTACATCTTGGTTTTCTAAAACGAAGCACAATTTACTCTCCTCAAAAACGATTATAGTTTACAAATATATCTTATTATTTCAAAGGCTAACTGATGACTTTTAAGTAGAGATATTTTTCCATTTAAAAATTTAGTCCTAAACATATATATTACTTGCTGTGCCAATATTGTCACCATTCTTACTAAATAAATATGTACACAAGAGAAACAGAACAGAAAATAAAGAAAAAAAGTTGGTGTGGAATGTTCAGTAATGTACCCTAAGGAATTTATGTTAATAATGTATTAATCTATAAGTGGCTTTCTGTTTCTTTCCTTCCTCCCCCTTCCTTTTCTTGTCCTCCTTTTTTTTCTTTACTCCATCTTCCTTCCTTTGCCTTTTTACTCTTTCCTATCTCCTTTCATTAGCCAATGCTATATTCAGTTTTTTTAAATATGGTTCTAAAATGAGTTTTTTAAACTAAGAATTAGTCATTCACCCTATTGTGAAACAAGAGTTCAAAATTGTATTAGCAGTTTAGAAGTAGGTTATCATTTAAGTTTCTTATTTTCTATGTATTCTTATTTCAAAGTAGGAAATAACTGGTTTTTATCTTCCCTTTCCTTTACTATTTTAGGACTTTTCTTTTTGGTAGAGATGGAAATCCAAATAAACGGAATGTGCACAATGAAACATCTATGCATTTGTTGTGTATGGGACCTCAGATTATGATATCTGAAGGAGCCCTTCATCCTCGCCTAGCACGCCCTGCGGAAGATGATTTCAGAAGAGCAGATTGTCTGCAGATGATCTTAAGATGGAAAGGAGCAAAACTTGACCAAGGCGAATATGAGAGAGCAGCTATTGATGCTGTAGATAACAAAAAAAACACACCCCTGCACTATGCTGCTGCCTCAGGGATGAAAACCTGTGTGGAGGTAAAACTTTGTGTTTTTAATATTCTGTGTGGTAAAATTTATGTCTTGGTAATATGTAATAAATCAGTGTTCATTTTGCTTATCTTAATAGTTAATTTAACTAATCATTTTTATCCTTTTTATGGTTCTGGAAAATCAGGACTACTTTTAAATAAAGTCTTTCCCCTGTTTTAGGGAAATATTAAGAACAAACTCACAGTTAAATAGTCAACCTTGGAAATATAAAGGGATCAAGAGCCATTAAAAATTTGCTAGCATCTCTGAAGATAACAGCCATCGATTAAATACAGTCATACTGAGAGTTTAGTAGCAATATGTTCCACTTTTTGGCTGCTTTGTATTAGCCATTGTGTAAGAAAATTTATGCATATTAGCTATAACAACTCTTGGTGATGGGACCTATAGTTATAGATCTAGAATTGATCAGTTCCCTAAGCAAGGGATGAATATTAATACATTTATTGGGGTATTTTTTAAAAAGTTGATAATTTTAAAAAGTGCTTTTTTTCTGTGTAATACATATTAAAGTGTTCCTGAACGTTATATTGTACTTGAGTTTTTCTTCTATATACTTCATATATGTATATATAATATCTACCAATAGGTTTAGATAAGGTCAGTCTTATAATCTAGGATCTTAATTAAGCTAAGAAGACATTACTCTTTATAGTATCATCATCACCACATACAGCAGGTTTTTCTCAGCTATGTTTATGTCAGTTTATATGTAACTCATAGAAGCTCTTTTGTATAACTATATGAGTGGGGAGCACTATTGATTGTATCACAGAGGACCTTTCCCAAAAGGTAGACCTGTATTGAAAAAGCAAGGATTCTAATCAGATTAAACTATAAAGCTGAAAATTTAGTATTTTCTTAATGTTATTCTTGTATACATACTTTATATTTCTGAATTGATAAATATACCAAAAAAATATGAATGTCTTTCATTTTCTTACTCAGGTTAAAAGATTACAGTTATTTGTATGATTTATTTAGTGTATCTTAAGTGTCAATTATTTTCACTTCTGGAACCCTTCTGATCTTATTTTTTGTTTACTGCTATTATTTTTGATACTTGTTCATCTTTTAGAGTCTTTCATTTCATTTCTTGGGTTTGTATAACCTTTGCCCACTAGTTAGTCAATGGCAGTTATTAACTTGAAACTATTTTTTTAAGGAATGTTGTCTAACACTGATTCACAGTGTGGCGGAAGGATGTCCAAGAGTTTCAGGGAAAGGGGGACTATCGGCAGAATTCCTGAGGCTTTTACACAAGGTCTTCTATGTATTGTTTTGTGCCCATCTCCTGTGAGAGAATCCCTGCTGCCGTGACTCACCATTACTGGTGGGACTGCGTCGTATTTCGCAAGCAAGTTAAGAGTAGATAATAGCTCCTTCTTGGTGGTAGTAATAATGCTCTCCATGCTGCTTTAAAATCTTACAAAAATTCTCTATAAACATCGCTTTATTAATCATGGATTTTGAAGTATGTTTATTAAAACATCCTTATCAAATGGTTCAAAAAAATAGAGTAATGTTTTCACCAGAATTATTTTTTTCTCAATGAATGAAATCTGTGCCAGGTTTATTCTGAACTATCTGGCAGGCCTGATGATTTGCTTGATGTGAATGCATATGTATATTTTAACCATTTTCTATCAGCGTATCACATTACATAAACCACACCATTTGATGACTTTCTGTTTTTCTATACTCAAAGGAGGGAGCTCTTTGACTTAATGTAAAACATCCCCAATAAAGCTCTGTAAATACCTTGGTTATGTTTACTCTAGCTTTCATCAACAAATTTCAGCATATCATTTTACCAATACAAAATGTCTTGAATCTTTAACAGTATATACTCAGTTGTGCACTAGCCCAGCCATAGGCCCTGAATGACTTTGGTAATGCTTCCTGTTAATTAAACTAGAAGATTTTCCTAGGGAAGTATACATTGACTAATTTCCAGAGGTCTTACTGTGTTTTTAATGCTAGTGCATGAAATATATATGTTTAAGACCCTACTCTGTAACTGTCCTTTTTAGAGTATTAGTCTTTGTTTATCTTCATTTCATGTGCTGGATCTTTGATGAAGAGGAAAGGCTAAGACTTCTCCTATAAAGTTTATTCCCGTGGGTAATTTAAATGGGTTTTTTTTTCCCTTAAACTACTAACTGGTCTGCATCATTGTTTATAGTCCTATGGCCATAAGAATAGTAATTATAATAACATTTGTATAATGTTTTTCTAATTTTCATAGTCCTCATTAGTACCAAGCATGATATAAAGGGTTTAGGTTGGGTAAAACAGTGTTTTCAGGTATTTATTATTCTTTTCCTAAAGCTAAGAGTACTGGTGTCTAGTCTAGTTTTGGCTCACACTGACTCTGTATGACCTTGAGTCAGTCACTCAAGTCATTCAAACTCTTAGAGATTATCATTCCCAACCACCCAAGAGGACACTATTACAATTATCTCAAAAAACCCTTTTAGCACTAATTTTCTGTTAATCTATAATAGCAGTAAAATACATCCCGTTTCAGAGGCTAGCCTTTAAGACTAAATTGATTAATTTATTCTATGATTAAGGCCAGGCTGGGGTTTTTTAAAAACCATTAAGAGCTTATATCTATGGAAATACATCTTTTCTAGTTGTTAAAAATGTTTTTCTCTTTATTTAAGGACAGAGCTGGTAAAGTTGTCAGTTGACAATTTCATATGTGTATTTAATAATTTAAAGTTTCCTATGGCTCATTATTTAGAGCCAGAGAAATAAAATATTTACTTTCAAACATCACCTTCTCCCTATAATAATTGTGTTTCATAGTAAGCTTAAGGGACACACACACAACAAAACAGCCTTGAAACAGAACCCCTCTGGGTTCTATTGCCTGCCACTGAAAAACCGTGACTCCCAGTGCCAGAGTCTTATTTATTTATTCCAAGGTTTCACAGGTTTAGAGTAGTGGCGGAATTCTGCCATTAAATCCCACTTCCTTTAGGAAAAAACAACAACAAAACATCTGTAATCCCATAGTCCTGTACCATTTCTTGGGAAAAGAAAGGTCTGTAGCTTAGCTGGGCAGATTCCTGTCTGCATGCTGGCTTCTTCCAGTCATCCGTGCTTGGGTATGCTCCTGCTCTTAATCCAAAACCTTATGGCCCCTCCTTATGGTGGGCCAGTGGGGGATCCTTCTGCATCCTTTCAAACCACATAGGTAAGACTACTTCCAAGGCTTGTGATCAAGAGGCACTTCTCCTTACCAAGCTGCATGGTTGAAGAGCTCGCACATGGCTGAGAGAGAGAAGGTGGCTGCCCCATGCTTGGGTTTAAATCCTGCGGTGTGGGAGTAGGGAGGTATCTTCTTCCATAACCCCATTTCCGACTCCTCTCACAAAGGGTTACACTTGCAAGTACTTTGGTCTTTTCTGCCTTTCTCAGCTGCCATAGTCAGTCTGGGCAGACGTGGGTAGGCACCGCCTCCAAGACACTGGCACAGGTACAGTGACCAGGGGACTGTGGCAGGCACAGCTATTAGCATTGCTGAAACACTGGCCAAATTCTTTAGCTATCCAAAAATAACTGAGTGGCCCTGCTCTACCTCTGCTACCCGGATGCCAGGTTAGTGGGGGACTTCCCATTTTGGGGGCCTCTGACTTAGCACTGTGTTACAGCCTCTCAGTCATAGAGTTTGGGAGTCAATGGCTATATATGGGATACTGCATGGGAAGTTCCCGCCCTGAAATTTCTCTTTCTTTATTGCTTTCTACCTAGTTGACTTCATTGTATGGTTTTTTCAATATTCTGTCAGGTTCACCATTTCCAAAACTGTACTCCATCTTCTTTAGCCACTTTTTCCTTCTCTTGACTGCCTTGTTTCTATTAATGATGCTATTGTACTACCATGTCCCTTGATACCTGGGTTTACTTTGGACTGTGTTTTGTTTTGTTTTTTTATTTTAGAGGTTTTTTGGGTTTTGATTTTGTTTGTTTTTTTTGCATCGAACTCATGCCACTTGTTTGCAGAATAGAGCTCTTCTTTGTCTCTTTTAGCCAGCCCTTCTTTTTATTTCTATTCACTTTTTCTAACACCAGGTGCTTACATTGAACCTTCACTTTAGTGTATTTTTCAAAACTTCCTTAAGTAGGAAAATCTGGAGTTTCACAAATATTAATCATTCAGGATTATTTATGAGATAAAAGTAATACAAATACTAGTGGGTTGTAATAGTTTGAAAATTGGAAATGCTTATATGTTAAGCAGTTATTAAGGACAAACTATAATAAAGCCCTCCAATTCTAATTCTTTCATATTTCAAAGAATTAGAATTGGAGGGCTTTATTTTGTTTCAAGGATCAGCAAACTTTTTTTCTGTAAAAGCCCAGATAACATATATTTTAGGCAACTGCTCAGCTCTGCGCATGTAGATGAAAGAAGCCATAGACAATACATAAACAAAGGAGCACTGCAGTCTTCCAATAAAACTTTATTTATAGACTCCCACATGAATTTCTTACAATTTTCACATACTGTGAAATACTCTTTTGACTTTTTTTCAGCCATTTAATGTGTAGAAACAGCTCTTAGTGTTTGGTCTATACAGAAACAAGCAACAGGCTGGATTTGGCCCATGGGCCTTAGTTTGCAGTGGATCCCTGCATTATGCAGATAATAGAAAGAGGAAAGCAAAGGACTCTATGCTCTAGAAACTTACTTTAAATATATGAAATAACATTATCAATATGTAGCCAGTCTTATATACTTTCAGTTATACAAAGAACTTAAAATATGCCATGCAACAGATGCACAGAGCACAAAAATGGAACTCTTTTAAAACATACATCTTATAAGACTTTAATGCAATAAAAATATACTCCTTTCTTAGTTGTTTAGAGTTTCTGTTTTTCTAGTTTGCAACAGAGATGAACTTTGGAAAGGAATGATGGTTTATTAGCATGGCCCATTTAAAATCCAGTGACTTTTCTCTTTTTGGCAG